CCCCGCTCCCTTGCGATTCCGTCTTACACAGGCCATCCAAAACCACGGCAGTTTCGTGGCCTCTATGTTCCTCACTGACTGATGTTTGTGTTCAAAATCTTAAACGGTCCTAGTGCAAAAGAGGTTTCGATCTCGATAAGAAACCAACAGCTTCTGAACAAAAACAAAATTAAAACTAATGAACAAAAGTAACTGTTACGTCCAGGGTTTGTGAGGTACATGTATTTGTAACTGCTCTGTTTTTCAATCTTCGAGAGTTTTCTGTTCAGGTCTTCGTTGTTGGTGTTTTGGAAGCATACTTTTGCTAATGCGATTTATATAGTCATCTTTTACAATTTCAAAGTCATAAATGCCATAAAAATTGAGCATCTGATGAGATTTGGTATTTCCGTCATACAGCATCCTGCTGTATACTAAACCCATAGATGTCACTGACCTAAAACTATATCTTTTAAGGTCAGTGATAGATATGTACACCCACAGAATTCTACACTTAAGTGTAGAATTCTGTGTGTACACCACAGTAATACATGTACTAAAGAGATGGCACTTCGCCCGGATGAGCGTATCTGGGTCACCAGCTGATCGTGGAGAAACGCGCGGTAAACAAAACAAACTGCGTCCATTGTTCAAGGCTTTTTAGTTGATCGCAGACAAGCATGGCCCCGGTTATCACGAAATGTCAATGATGTTCTGCTATAAACTGCACCTATGAAAATCAAAATCTGAGTTTCTCTCGATTTCCAAAGGATGACGAATATATTTTGATGAATAGAAAAATATAGATCAAAATAATGACAATGTGATTGTGGTCCTACCAGACTCACACTCCATGCACAAACTCAACACACTTCAACTTTTTTATATCAGCTATAAATTTGGGTTTTTCCCCCTGTCTAAATGTCCAAATTGAGCTTGCATTCTACTAGTGAAAGATATGTTACCTGGGTCTGCTAAATGTTGTCTAAATACAAAGTGCCATCGATCGGTTTTGCTACTTTCTTTGTCAGATTTCCGCTTTTTTTTTGGGGGGGGGGGGGGGGGAATGGGATGGGGGATGAAAGGTGTTACAGATCTTTTTAAACTCTTTATCATTACTGCTTCATGTGCTTTTCCGTGATCTGAAAGAGTGAGAATTTAATATAATGTGTGTGTGTGTGTGTGTGTGTGTGTGTGTGTGTGTGTGTGTGTGTGTGTGTGTGTGTGTGTGTGTGTGTGTGTGTGTGTGTGTGTGTGTTATAGTTATGTTAGAGTGTGTTTCCACCAAAAACCGAATGCTGGCCCTTGGGTGCGGTTCCATAATTTACATGTTAAAAATATCATGTACTTTTTTCTTGAATTACGCTCGTTTAGGTTTTTTTTTTTAAAAGGCCAATCTTCGGATTTCATTCTGTTGTGAAACCTGTATTTTTCCCGTTTTTACAC